TGATAGCATGCATCGAAGGCAGCTGCGTATCTCTTATGGCTTTTGTTAAGAGCTGATCTCCTGTGAACGACGTCTGCAAATTTTTTGACATGATTAAATTCAGTTGAAGCATTTCCCCCTTTGTCCCCATCCAGGGCATCAACCCAACATGCCTGTATGTCCCCTCCGGGGTCCTTGTCGATTGAGCTAGCTGCGGCTTTGCTCAGTCCGTTCAGCCGGTCCCAGCCGTACCTGTCCTCTGGATTAACTGTTCTGACCACAGCTATGTAATTTTGTTTGTTCATAGCATCACCACCAACCCTGACTGCTATCTGCCCGTTGCATTGCAGGAGTCCTGTGTAAAACGTTCGTTTAGTATGGAAAGTAGGGGGGGGAAAAACCTTCGTTGCAATGCGCGAAGTCGCTGGCAGAGAACCTCCTATAAGCATCTATTTGTTGCTCCCATTGGGGGGGAGCGAGCCCATAGACTGTCACGAACTTCTTGTCTTTGAGGTCTGCTAACAGAAACTCGTTCAGCGTCTTCATACCCTCTTCCGTGCACTTGTGTCCAGGCTCTTTCTCGTGGAAGCAAAATGGACAGATTGTTTTGCCACAATCTTCACACTCCCAATCCTTGCCGACAGGGTCCTTGAGGAAATTTGGCCCTTCGCACAGTATACATTTTCGTTTGCCTTTCGGCGCCTGTAGAAATGTGAAAATTTGCGAGGGGTCGAATGGCTTTTTGTTGTAGCTCGGTTTTTTTTGTTTTTTCTCTCTTCCTTTTTCTCGTGCGCATCTCTGCCCGCTTTAACTAACAATCGGTGCATCTCGTCTGACGGAATCCATTCAAGCATCGTCTTCCATCCTAATTCCCTTAGCGCCGCCAGCTCCGCTGGTATTCTGTGTAGCAATTCCACTGTACTCACTTCCTTGCTAATCCCCATACGCCGCTCCTTGGTTAGTCGCACTAAAGTCTGTATAAAACCATTGGTTAGGTCCAGTACCATCGCATCTGTAGCCTTCTTGGGCATTTTCCGTGCTGGACAATAGTCCATACATTCTTTCCTCACTGCTTCAGCTGTTATTTCAGCATATTTGCCGAGTGAACTCATGCATGGAACAAGGTCCTCGGGGTGGTAGTTCGTCTTCCTATCCGAGGACTTTCCAGCTGAGCAAAAAGGGGGGGCGGGTATCTTCTTGCAAAGCCACACTTGTGTGGAGTCTTGGTAAAGAAAATCTACTTGCATGCAAAAAACCCCGTCCTTTTCTTCTCTGCACGCGCAGTTATATGAATTCCAGTTTTGTTTACGGCTCCCGCCGCGCTTCCAAACAACGGCTATTTTTTTCATACTCTCAAAAAGTTCTTTAACTATCATAGTGCTCTGTGCTTTAGACATAAAAACGTCACCTTTATTTAGAATCGGCCCTGCGGCGGACAAAGACGCGATAACCTTACAGGTTCGGGGCGCAGGGGGGTTCTCGAGGTCTAATGCCTCCTCTCTTGCCCGAATATTCTGCCATTTTATCGTATCTGCTTTTCCTCTTTTCGCATCCGCTTCTTTTTTCCTTTTTTTTCTCCGACCCTCCTCATCAAGCTCGGGCGCCGGCGGCGGTGCTGGCGCGTGCGCCGGTGCTGGCGCTGGCCCGAGCAGCGCAAGAGTTGCAAGCGGTGTTGGTTCCTCCTCCCCCACCTCCTCCTCCTCCTCCTTTACCTCCTCCTCCTCCTCCTCCTGCTGCTGCTCGGGCACCAGCGCTCCCTTGGACGCCGCACCACGGCTACCCGCTCCCCCGAGCGCCGGTTCCTCCTCGTCATCCTCCTCCTCGTCATCCTCCTCCTCCCCCCCCTGCTCCTCCTCCGAGATTCCAGACGATTGCGACAATTGCCTCAGGTACGCCGCGTATCCGTCCCCGCCCGGAGGATTACTTCTCCAATATAACTTTATCGCCTTTAGATGCCCTCCTTTAGTTGGGGCTTTAACTACTATGCTATGATAATCTTTGTGTTTTCGTAACTGAGGCAAGTCCCATCCATCGATGCCGGGTGGGTACCGATCGTCGCTGGAGGACATGATGGAATGAGTGTGGTCGAGAAGGACAAGCGATAAATATGCCAGGACCAGCCCCGCCAGTCATTAAGAAATAGGAATATCAAGACGGACCCCACCGGCGCACAATTATATCAAGACGGACCCCACTCGGCTGGAAAAGGCGCTGGGCCCCCGCAAGAATACCAAGAATACCCCGCTGGCGCAAAATATATCACGACGGGCCCCGCCCTGCGGGGGAGAAGCGCGCTCACTTATATAGGGGGTGGGACCCAAGGGCAGGCACTCCGCTCACCCAGCGGCACGGCGCGAGCTGCCCTCGCCGCGGTGCCGATCTCCCCTGGAGTGTGAAGCATCGCCGCCGCTGCCGCCGCGCGCCGCTTGGCGGCCGGTCCGATGGGCCTCGGGCCTTTGATTCGGAGAAGTCCCTGCCTGAGGGACCCCGCTCGGCTGGGAAGGCCGACGGCGCTGGCCCCTCATAAGAATATCAAGACGGACCCCACCGGCGCACAATTATATCAAGACGGGCCCCACCGGCGCACAATTATATCAAGACGGACCCCACTCGGCTGGAAAAGGCGCTGGGCCCCCGCAAGAATACCAAGAATACCCGACGGACCCCGTTCGGCTCGTAAAGCACAAGCTGTGCGACATGCACGTGGAAATGGGACACCTCATCGAGCTCCTGCGCGAAAACGACGCGGTGGGCTTTCGCGCACAGTGCACGCTTTTCCCACAATTCATGAGCGCGCGAACCACGTGGTTTCATTCTGTCATGCATCTCGCTGCCAGGCTAGGGAGAACCGATGGACAAACGAGTGGATATGCCCAACGTGCCTTGAAGACAAAGAGCCAGAATGCCGCGGGGCGAAGCGCTACTGGCGATCGGAGGAGTACAAATGTGCGAAGAAAGCGCGGATGGACGCAGAGACGCGCGCTGCTTTGGTCGAAACGACAAAGCGCGACATCCGAGAGACTTTGATGCCGGAGGGACGCAAGAGCGACCTTTTCAAGAAACTCATGTCGACATT